CCCCAAAACCCCAAAACCCCAAAACCCCAAAACCCCATAGGGTATTTAAAATATTGATAATAAGACCTTAGAGAATCTCTTCCCATAGATTTTCGATATTTGAGTATCCCTTGACTGGGAAAACACTCTCTGAAAGGCCATTCTCACCTTCGGATTTGTCTAACTCGTTCATCCTAGCTTTAAGCTTCTTCTTAAATAGAGGATCAAGTGTTAACTTTAGAGCATCATCGATCATTCGAGGAATGAGATATTCTAAAAGTTTGCTAGATTCCTCAAGGCATGGGTTTGTGTTTATTTCTATTAACCATCATTCAAAATTCTCATCAATAATGAAATCATATCCAAAAAGCTCGAATTGGGATCGCTTGTTCTCTTGAAATAAATGATCTTCAGCTGCCTTAAAAGAAGTTATAATACAGCGTTTCATCCGTGATACAAGATTATCTTGCACATTTATTTCCGAATCTGGAAAGTGCTCATCAATATACTCTTGAAAATCTTGAAATGACAGTTGATTGCCATCTTCAAATTGCCCATAATTCTCTGAGAACTTCTGAACAGCATTATTGGTGAGATGCACATATGTCTTGCTGATGTCGTTACTTTCAAGTGAGAAATCCTCACAAGATGTTCTCAGATATCCTTCTTTAAAGAAATGAAGCTTTAGGTCAGCAGTAAGCAACACCCAAACTCTAATGTCAAACTTTCTCTTATTAATCAGTAGAGGTCTTTCGATATATTTTTGAATTACGAAAGTTGAACTCTGAATCTTGTTAGGCACACTGCTCAGGTTACTAAATGTAGTATCCTTAGTGTTCTCCTTCGACAGATCATTAGCACCTTGATAGTCATTTTGATGAATGATAATTCCTTTCTTTATTTCTTCAATCAAGTCTACAATTTCATCTCATGATTCAGTAGCTTGGATTACATAAATACCTCTTCCTCGATTGAGCTTTGTGACCTTCAAAATCCACATATTATGCCCTGAAAAGTGAGTATCTGGCAGATTTAGCTTCTCAATAGTTTTCGTCCTTCGATTCTTCTTAGAAGCAATTATTGGGTAATACTTGTGACTGAACTGGTCTACAAACTCCTCTTTCTCTATTTCTTGTTTTGAGTATCGGTAAACTAGCTGCTGCAAGGATTTGAACCGTTGCAAGTCGCTATCATAACTATCCAACTGCGATTCTATTCAAAACGTCATCGGCACATATTCAAAGACTGTCTTGTCCAAATGTTCACAGAGGTTTTTAAAACAAGCAATCTTTGGTAGTTATCTGGGCATGGTTTTCCAAATGATTGACCAATTGCTTATTTACCATTGATTGAAAGCTGATCAAATCTGATACCATGACTTGTCTGCTGCCATTTGAAGTTGAACATTGTATCAAACTGGACGGTTTGTTCCCACCCAGGTCTCAGTTTCATTCATCTCTCGATTACGTTACTATTATTTCCTTTCATAATGATAAATTTAAGGCTTTGTTTCTGTGCGTTAATCTTATAATTAGAAGACAAATTGTTGTAAATCTCAGTAGCTTTTCTTCTAAGAGCAAGCTTCTTCTCTTGTTCCTTCGCTAGCTCATCATGATGATTGACCAGGACACCACTGATTCTGATTCCTTGCGACTTTCTGATGATTTTTGATGCCTCCATCTGAAGATTACTCTTCTCCTGATTCCGAGTTGTCGCATCTTTATCAGCAGGAGTATTCTTGTCAATCCCAGACCCTTTCCTTGAATGAGGATTCTCAGTGTTTTGTCTCTGAAATTTTCCTTGAAGTTTTAATCTTTCTGCATTATTCTGGTTCTTGTTTGAGTAATTCTCGAATGTGTTTCATTGATGATTTCTTGGCTTTGGCTTACTTTTAGCCAACTTCTTTCCTTTATGATTCAAAATATCTCTAGTCCTCAGCTCTTTTCCAATATGAAGAGTCTTCATCGGGGCTTCTCTTTCCCCTAAAAATTACTTAAATTCTAAAATTTACAAAAAGAAGGTTAAAATTTTAAACTACAAATTGAGATTTACCTTTGTAGGTTTCAAGTGAGTGATCTTGTCTTTCATAAATTTTATTTATTTCCTATAAAAGGTGTATCAATTTGAATGTTCTTCTTCCTTCCTTGTACAGCCAGGAAGTTCTTCTGAGTCTTGACCATGCTATTCTCCCGAGAGTCGCGCCTCCATCTGAAATTAATTTTGTTAAAAGGGCGAGTAATCTTCCCCATTTTGTAAATATGATTGTTCTTGATTTCAGCTAAGTCTCTTTGAGTCATGCATTCTTTCTTCTTTAACTGGAAAGCTCTCCTACGCTCTTCTTCCTTCAACATAGCTTTCTTATAAGGAGATGAGTCCTCGATAGATATCAGAGGAAAACCTGTCTGATGATTTTGCTCTCCTATAGAAAACTTGGTAGAGCTCTTTCTGTTTAACTCGGAAGGCATTTTATTGTATCTGTTATCTCCATAATTCTTGAGTTTGAGCTTACTCTGCCTGTCTTTAAAATAGCTCATTTTCTGCTTGAACTTCAAATATTTGTTATTGGCGTACTCTATTCTGCTTAAAATAAGCTCCTCTTGCTCTTCAGTTTCCCCAAAGACATAGCCCATGGGAAAATCTGGAGGAAAGTTCTCGAAAATATTCTTGTTATTTAAATTAGTTTGAGCTTCATCTGAATTTTATCAAGAATGAGCTTACCTATAGACTCTTCTGTATTTATCATGATGCCATTAATACTCATGATTTGATTGCTACTCTCTTCAGCCTTAGGACTTCCTTCAGGGAAGTAGTTACTGCCCGTTCTCGGTAAAGAGTCTCCGAAGTTTTTAGAATTACTCACATTTTTAATTGAAAATTCGGAGAAAATATTTCGATCTTCCCTTGTAATGCTGTTTTTAAGCTTTAAGACACCCCATTGTTGTCGCTAATGAAGAGGTTCTTGTTGAGACCTGGAAGATTTGTGGAGCCAGAGTCTATTTTACCTCATTCATCGTGGTCAAGCATGTTTATCTGATGTGAAAGATTCTCTAATCTCCGGATAGAGCTCTTATTTTGAAGTGTAGTCTCCATATTCGAGTCGTTAAAACCTCTCAAAGGGGTAGGCCCATAACTCTTTCCTCTCTTCTGATTGCTCTGCCAATGAAAGTTAGATACATAAACTTTGTTTGGGTTCTTCCTAAATTTTGAGGTTGAAGCATTAGTGTAAGTAGCTCCCAGGATATTGCTTCCTTTGATGTTTATTTTATTTTCAAGGTTTAAAGTTTGTGTAAAGTTCTTCTTGTTCTCAGGGCCTACAGTTGAGACCGTGTTTAGCGACTCCTTATCTACTGGAATGTCTCTGAATATCTTATCTTTCTTAGTTTCATAGACCTTTATTGTTATTCCATGACAATGCTGGCCACTCTCAGGGCTCACAGAATTCATATTATATTATATTAATTTCATTAGCTTGACACCAGTCTGGGGTTTTGGGGTTTTGGGGTTTTGGGGTTTTGGGG